CCCCGCAGGCACGCCCCGCCCCCACAGTACCAGAGCCGCGCCAGCCTCATGAGCCGCTTCGGCTCGTCCAGCATCCTCGCGTCCTTCCGCGGCGAGCCCCCGGGCCAGTCCCCCGCCGCGCCGGCCGCCAAGTGGTGGCTGCCCCCGGAGCCGCGGCAGGCGCCGTCCCGCGTCTACCAGCCCGCGCCCTCCGCGCCCGCGCTCTCGGCGCCGCCGCGGCCCGCCGCGCTGCCCTCGCTGCAGGCCCTGCCCGCGCCGCCCACGCTGGCCGCCGGACCCGCGCCCAGGTTCGGCCCCACCGGCGTGGGCGACCTCCTCCGCGACGTGCCCGACGGCGACGCGACGCGGAGGGTGGTGGTGCTGACGACGAGCCAGTCGCCCTTGGCGACGCTCAGCAGCACGGAGGCGCCGCCGCCCACCTCGCCCCCGCCCCCGAGTGCGTTTGCCACGTGACCCCCCTCGCACAAGAAGCTCGCGTAGGCCCAACCCTTCTCCCTCTTGCCGGCTGCAAAAGTTTCCGACACGTTTTGCCGGCCGGAACGTAGTATCCTTTATGTAACACCCTTACTTCCCTGCAAAAAAAATAACAAAGTAAAGTTACTCCCGTCTTTGCACTACTGAGGGTACTTTACAACGCGAGTTGAATTATTACTATGTTTAGGTTTTTATAATTTCGTTCATTTTCTCTTTTTTTTCTTCTTCTTTTCCCGAAGCTGGCCGGAGCTGGATGAATTATCCTCGTGGGTGCAGTTCGGAAATAAGGTGTATAGGCGTGATTGCGATCAGCTAGGTGTGGGGGCGGTTGCGTCTGCTTAAACAGCCGGTACCGGAGGAAAAGAAAAAGGAAGAAAAACTTTCGCCCTCTGTAAACTCGACTATTGGTCGCGTTATCTAACCAACATCTCGCGGCCTCTCTCCATCCTTGTCGCTCTCTCCCTCTCTTCACCCCCGCCCCCTACTCTCTCCCTCGCACGCTCGCCCCATCTTGATGCCTTGTGCCCGCCGCCCCCGCGCAACCCGACGTTCCAGGAGGGGAAAAAGGAAGGAAGTCGGACTGATAACGAAGCAACTAAATTAAAAACTGGAGCGCCACGTAAAAAAAGGAAACAGAAAAAATAAATATAAGAAAGGGTGTCGGCGTTGTTGACACAGTTTCGAGTGCTTTCTGTTGGCGGCGCGGGGACGTCGCACGGCTGAAATGATTATTATTTTGTCTCGCTGAAAAGTCGGCGGCGTTGGAGGAGGAGAGGGGCCTCTTTGGTGCCCGGGGGACCAGTCGCAAACCACCACAACTTTTTTTCTGAAACTGGGGCGCCACTTTTCATGATGCCGACCTCTTTAGTCGAACAAAACGACTTCCGTCGTAGGAAGCCAAGCTCGATTTGGTGTACGAGTACCAGCCTCGAGCTCTTTTTTTACTGTGACATCACAAAGGATGACGACATCACACACCCCTTTCGAAATAATAAAAAAAATGTGTGCCAGTTTGTGCGCGGTCCCCAAAGAGAGGGAGGAGACGACACAGGACATTGGGGTGGAATAGAGTAGCCGCCGCTCTAGCGCCGCTTTTCCAGTCGTAAAACAAACGATTGCCTTTGTTTGGTTAACAACTCGCATTCGGCCAAGCCAGAGCAGCCAACAGCAGCGACCCCCGCCCCGCCACGCCTCACCACGCCACGCCCCACCGCGCCCTTGGACACACCGCCTCCGCCGCGCGGAAGTTTCTAGACTGGTTATAAATTTGGCGGGGACGGGCTGGGTGGTGGCGGGAGGCGTACGATTAGGTACGGAAGTGTGAACTGCTCATTTGACCAAAAAAAAAGTTGTAAAAATTGCGTCGGAAGGACGCGAAAGCAGCGGCCGTTGTGGCGCGGGGTGATTTGGTGGGGAGGTCGACTTGGGCATGAAATAGCGTCGATGGCGCCGGGCCTGGGCATTTGGGTTGGGGGTGCGGGAGGGTGTCGTTGAGGGAAGAAGGGGTTGCGGGTCGTCGATCGTCCCGCTTAGCTATGACGGTGGGTGGAGCGGCGCGGATTCTAGTGGCACTGGTGTGGCTTTCGGTTAAAAACTTGTAACGAATAACTTTCAACTTAGCTGCAAGTACAAGCTGCTGATAAGTATATATAGACTGGACAGGTGTCAAAAGGAACTAAAATTTATTACCTTATTCGGGGAATTTTCGTGTATTTCTAGGGGCGTTCATTTTTATTGCCTCTGTAATGCACTAAATTGATTAGCAACCCCAGGGAGAATCCTACCTGTGTTTTTTTAGTGCTCTCATCATATGCTGAAGGCAGCAAAATGGTGCATAAAATTATTTCAAACATGATTCCGGTGTAGGTTTGTGGTGGGCAGCCGAGCGACCTTCTGCCCCGCTGTGCAGACTACGGCTATCAGGAGCGACCTTCTGCCCCGCTGTGCAGACTACGGCTATCAGCGGGGCCTCGCAAGCAGATCGCCGGGCCAGCACTGCCAGGCACGCAAATTCTGGCCAATATTCCACGACGGCATCCAACAAGAAAAGAGAGGAGAAGTTTAGGGGCGGGGGAGGGGGGTCGTCCCGAGCTCACTCTGAATCCCCGGAGAGGGGCGCTGACACAGAGAGAGAGTGAGAGAGAAGGGAGGTGGAATGTGTACGATCGAAGGAAGTATTCCTTGTCGGAATGCCGTTTAGGTCTTTGGAGGATTGTTAGGAAGACGTTTGGACGTGAGCGGATGGATGGATGGATGGATGGATGGATGGATGGATGGATGGATGGATGGATGGATGGATGGATGGATGGATGGATGGACGGACGGACTGGTGAATGGATGGACGAGAACGAGGGTTACTGCACAGGGACCCCGGGGAGCTTTACTGTCTGGTCTGCCGGTATCCCCGTCGCCGCGGCGCGAACCATGGCGGTAGTCTGGTCCCGATCAGCTGACCGGTCGATTTACCGTGCCAGGACCGGGCTGGCCCCGCCTCGCCCCGCCGCCCCCATGTACCCCCTTCCCACCAGGGCCCTATCGCACTGCTATAAATTTATTTTATTCCCCCCCGTTTCGTCGTGATAACCAGTCTACCAGTCGCCCCGTTTATTGAACTTTCCGAGAAACGCTTCCGCCGCCCACCCCCGGCTCCGCCCCCATCCGTCCACCCCATGTAGCAAAACCCATTCGAAATGTTGTTGTCGCGAAAATCGTCGCGTTGTGTTGTGTGTTGTCGAGCGGTGAGTTCATGTCCTTTTCTTCCTGTCTGTTGCAGGTGCACGGTGCGCGACAAGTGCCAGAAGGCGGCGCACAGCTCGCCGCGCTGGCTGTCGGTCGGCTCGGGCCAGCAGTGCATCGACTTTGAGCAGGTGCTGCCGGACCGCATCCCCGTCAGCCAGATGACCACGGTGAGTGCGCCCGTCAGCCCCGCCGCCCCCGCGGC